AAGGAAGAAAGAAAGAAAGAAAGAAAGAAAGAAAGAAAGAAAGAAAGAAAGAAAGAAAGAAAGAAAGAAAGAAAGAAAGAAAGACAGAAAATGCTGAATATTGATAAGGGGAGGGATACATATAGAGCTTATATAGGTTATTTTAGGAATCGTGGATAAGAACATCTGGTTTCCTCTAAATAAAAACAGAAGTTTCATGTGACACTGTAAACTCAGTGTATCAATAGCAGAGCAAGTACGTCACCCCTTTGTGTGAAACATGCTTTTCCAACATTAAGTGATGGACTCAACACAGAATACTTTGGAGGAAGAGCCAGAGATTGGTCTTCAGTGAAATTTGTCAATTCAAAAATAAAAACCATGTAAGAATAACATACATCTTTGCAATTTTTAAATTAGATAATAATATTGGAGAGGGGATACTATAGTCATGAAGGTGTTTTACTTATGAAAAGGCTTGTCTATTTCACTCCAAATGTGCTGACCTTTAACTCTTCGCCAGATGAGAAAACTCAACTTCATAATATCTAGTACTGGAGAAAAGTATTTGTATTATACCCTGGAAAAAAATTACATTTTTCTACTGTGCATGTTCGCAGGCAGTGGGTTACAAAGGCACACTAGCCATTTGAGAAAGTTATTAATCCATTTTTATTTACAACTAGCTGATTGATCTCTCAGCCACACAGAAGTACTGCAGACAATTTGTATAAAAGCTATGAACTAGCCCTCTGGCTGCCTGGTGAGAAGTGTTTGATGTCTCGGTTTTCAAAATAACAGAATTTAATTCAGTGGATAAAAAGGAATTCTGGGTGAAATACATTTGGAGCATTTCCACCATTTTATTAAAATTCAGGATGTGCTAAAGAAATGATAGATAAGGTGATTAGCTCTGTGATAGAAAACACACACTCATTAGAAGAAATATAAACCACACACACTGTGAAAATGACTAAATTACTAAGGTTTAAAATTTAGGTGGTTTGAACACCTGAAAGTATTCAAGATGATTTCTTTTTCATGTATTTCATGGCAATAAGCACTGTAACAAGAAGGTCTTTTTTTTTTACTTATATTTTAACTATGAAAATGTTTGATGGAAACAAGACTAAAGTTTATTCTGAAATTGTATTCCAGTATTTTGTTTATCATAGCCTAAAACTTAAACACAATGAATTCAACATTTTCTGCAAACCCCCGACAGTTACTTATTCTGCTAATTAAAAAAAATAACAAAATAAAGTCAGAGTAGGATGGACTTCCCAGAGCCATTTGTAAATCGATATTTCTTTTTTAATGTATGAAGTGTGTCACACCACAAGATATAAGAATGTGGGAGTAGGGTAGATGGCTCAGTGGTTAGATGAACTTGCATATGTCACAGGAAACGAGAGTGTAGTATTCAGCACTCATGGTGGCTACTTCACAATTGCCAGTACCACAGCTTCAGTGCCTTGGATGACCTCTGAACTTATGCAGGTACCTTCATGCATGTGTCCACAACCCCCACAGAGACAAAAATATAAACACACAATTAGAAATAGAAATACATACATGTATGTGTGTGTATGTATGTATGTATGTATGTATATAATTTGGGGACAGCCATGGATTTTGTCTCCCATTTCTCTAGCATTTCATGCATTATATTAGTGTTACAGAACTTATAAAACTCCCTAAAGTTGACTGCTGAAGTCTCCTGTCTATCAATGGAATGTGGTAAACAGTATCAGAATATAATTTGAATATCATAGCATTTCATATGATTTTTATTTTAGAAAAATGAAAATTAAATTTTAACTGTTCATAAAACTGTGTGCTGGTCTGCAAGTGAATAACAAAATCTTGAATATGTTTCTCAGTTTAATACATGCTAGGCAGCATAGTTTATTACTTGCTCTCAATCTCATGAACATCATTTTGAAAAGCAATTCTGAGCTGTGCATTGTTTTGTTGGCCAATTCCCATAAATGATAGAATACTTCTTGGGAGTGAATAGATTTGAAATGAATTAATTTAATGTCCGAATTTCTCAGCAAATATATCAAGGACTTTTATTTGTTATATTTCTGGTCAAGGAAAATCATACAAATACATATATACACATACATATATAGTCACATACACACACACACACACACACACACACACACACACACACACACAATGAGCAGTTGGAATGACTCTACAGAATAATTTAAGCATTTAAAATCTACTATATTATTATACTGAAAAGTGTGTTTCTCTGTGTGTGTGTGTGTACTTGTGTGTAAGTATATGAGTGTACATATATATATGTATGTATGTATGTATGTATGTGTCTGTATGTATATGTGTTTATTTGTGTGTATGTATGTATTTATGTATGTGTGTTTGTGCATGTATGTGTGTGTATGCGTTTGTATGTGTGTGTGTTTGTGTTTATGAGTATGAGTATGTGCATATATATGTATGTATGTGTGTGCATGTTTCTATGTGCCTTAGTTAGGGTTTCTGTTGCTGCAACAAAATATCATGACCAAAAGGCAAGTTAGGGAGGAAAGGGTTTATTTGGCTCACACTTCAGCATTGCTGTTTATTACCAAAGGAAGTCAGGACACGATCTCAAATAGGGCAAATCCTGGAGGGAGAAGCTGACTCAGAGGCCATTGAGGGTTACTGCTTATTGGTCCACTCAGCCCACCTTCTTATAGAACCCAGGACGGACCAGCAGCTCAGGGATGGCATCACCCACCATGGGCTGGACCCTCTCCCATTAATCACTATTTGAGAAAATGCCTTATAGCTGGATCTCATGGAGGCATTTCCTTAACTGAGCTTCCTTCCTTTGTTGACTCTAGCTTGTGTCAAGTTGACACACAAAACTACCAAGTACAGTGTGTATGTGTGTGTTTGTGTTTGTTTGCATGAGTGTATGCCCTTATGTGTGCATGGGTGTGTGTGAATGTTTCAGTGTGCATGCATGTGTCCATGTGTGCATATATATGTATGTATGTGTGTGTCAGTGTGTCTGTCTGTATGTGTGCCTGTACATATATGTGTGTATGTATGTGTGCCTGTAGGTGTGAGTGCATGTGTGTATGTATATGTGTGTGTATGTATGTATGTGTGTATATACATATGTATGTATGTGTGTAAATATGTGTGTGGTATATAGTACATGCACATGACAGTGTGAATACATGCTCCTATTCACATAGATGAAGAAACCCAAGCAGGATATTGGGAGGGCCTTCTTGTTTCTCTCTGCCTCATTGATGTGAGACAGGGTTTCTTAATGAACAGAAGCTCACCATTTCAGTGTGGATGGCTGACCAAGGAGCTCCATGGCTTCATCTTTCTGTGCCCCTCTAATGTGTAGGGTCACTGTCATGTACAGCAATGCCTGTTTATTTATGTGGATTCCAAAAATGAGAACTTAGGTCCTTGTGCTGGTAAAATAAATGATCCTATCCACTTAGCCATATCTCAGTACCCAGAAAATATTTTACAAATAGAGAAAAGTGAAAAAAAAAGTTTGTTACATTGCTGGCAACCTATGTTTAGCCATTCTGCTTTAAAAGTAGCTAGCAAATATGTACCTGCAGCTTTCCATATCAGCATGCCTTTCCACTGTGATAGACTGTGACCCTAAATCAACTCTTTCTTTTAGTTGATTTTCTCAGATATTTTGTCTCAGCCAAGACTAAAGTAACAAATACAATAGTCATTTTATTTCTGATATGGATAGTTCACATAACACTATTTGAGTAGAATGAACAATATCATGCTGCCTCTACCTCACAGCAACAATTAGTCCTCACCTCACACTAACAGAATATAAATTACAAAATAAATTCTACATTGTTAGAGTGTATTTTTGGATGATCCAGAGTCATTCATTCAGAGATATTATGGATTCTGTATACCAGTTATTAAAGAAGATAATATGCTTAGAATTGATAAATATACTATGTCATGGCATTCATCCATTTATATACATTTTATTAAAATAGCTTCCATTTCCTATAGCAAATTGTGCAAACCCCAGCTTTCCTAGTCTATGTATTTCCTAGTAATGGAATCGTTACTTTTAAAAGTTACAATTCAATTTTATGTTGGCATTTAACTAGGCAATGATCTAGTTGGTTCCTATGTTTGTTATGAATATGTCATTCATCAGATTCCCTGCCTGATATCACCAAGGGTTGTGATTTTCTTATTGCACTTGTCAATACTGTTTACTATGTATGACAATTAGGGCTGTTTTTAACTTTTAGCTTTAAACTAATAAGGAGAAGAACGACAGTTGAAGTACTTGATGTTTGTATGCACTCACACAGCTTGCTAACAATGCCTGCTTGGGTTAAAGATTTATATAAACTTAATGTTTCCAAATACATTGATTTTAAAATGAGAACATTTTGCTATTTTTTAAATTATACTTTGTGCTCTAAGCAATCTATGTGCATATTCAATGCTAACACGATTCAAAGAGTTCTGCAAGAAATGTTTCATTCTTCCACCTATAGTTGATATCCAAAAATAGCATTTCCAGCTGGTTTAGTTGTTCAGTATTTTTCCCTCTCATTTCTCTAAGTAAGAAGCATGTGCTTTCCAGAGCCCATTGTTCAGCAGGAATCATTATCTATTCATTTATTCACAATGAATGATTTCAAACACAGCCCAAGTACGTACATTCAGACAACCCTACACATTTGTATCATAATTTGGTTTTAATTAGATTTATACTGTCAATTTGCATAGTGTCTTAAGTAAAGTATGCAATTTGCCATTATTTTTGCTAGCTTTCTTACGGTTATTTTTGTTCCAGAATTAATAATTTTATTGCAATTAATTTTGCCTAGTTTTCTATGTACTTATTTATTTTTACAGTACCTTCTTGGCTATAATAATAAAAGCCCTTACAATGCATTCACACATATCAATTTCATGTCCTTGATAAAAATCTCTCCTAGACCTATTCCAATCTGTTCCTTTTTCACCTGGTAAACATTGTCATACTGGGACCTACTTTCCTCATTCTACGGAACCATTAATACTTGCGGAGTAGATAAGAATAGAACTAAAGGAGTGTGGTCTGCATCAGCCCACTTTCCCTGCAGAGCCTGGCACATGGGAAACAACACAGATGAAACCTAGAAGTCATTCATGCTTGTAGTAAGTGAGACATTCATTTGGACAGACATTTCTTCCCGTGTCCTGCCTAGAGAATGTTGGCTGAAGTGCTAACCTTCTCAGAGGATGCTGCATGCTTCACAGTCACTCTTTCAGAGCTCAGCTTGTTGAAATCTGTGTGCCACCATGTCAGGTACCCAACACTAGACATTTATGATTTCCTCTCCAGGCTTCTACTGAGATGAGGAAAGATTTGTCTCTTATTTCTCTAAATAGAAGAAAGAAATCTAAGTGTGCTTGTGATTATATATATATATATATATATATATATATATATATATATATATATATATATGTGTGTGTGTGTGTGTGTGTGTATAATGCTATTTTAGATTTTTATAAGTGTTGGCTGTTAGAGGTACCAAACATCAAACATTGAACAGA